TGCTTGGCAACAGTAATAGGAGCAATAACAACAGGTAATAACAAATGATCACACATACCGAATTGTGCTAACGTCATCAACAGATGTTACAAAGAGCTTCCCTTTGCTATTCTGTGTGACAAATGCATGCATTAATAGGGCTTCTCAAGACTGAAGTGGTCTTGCCTTAATATGAAATACCTCCATACTCGAGAGTAAAGTAGTCTCTAAGCCTCAGCACATTGATGTTTTGGGCCATACGATTCTCTGTTGTGGGGCTGTCCTGTGCACCGTGGGTGTCTAGTAGCATCCATGGCCTTACCCATTAGGTACCAGTAAACCTCCCTCTATTATGACAAACAAAAGCATCTCCAGACATTGTCAAATGTCCCCTGAGGTGTCTTCCTGCTCTAAAGGAATGACTCTATTGGTAGGAAGTTAAAAACTATGGCATTCTCAAGATCTTTTTGAGTGCACAGGCCTTTTGGTTTATCTAATTAGTTACCTTTGATTATAAATCAAGCCAACTTTGCCCCGATTCCTAGTAACAGCTATTGATTGAGTACCTATTGTAGACAGCAAACATAATTTGCATAGTCAATATAGCATGGAGATTAAGTGTTTGGTTCTATTGTCAGAAAGCCTGGGTTGCTGCAGGGAAAGACAAACACCATATGATTTCACTTACATGTGGAATCTAAGACAAAACAAAACAAATGAATAAGACAGAAATAGACTCATAAGACACAGAGCAGAGACCGACTGGTGGTTACCATGGGGAAGGGGTTGGGATGGGTGGATGAAATAGGTGAAAGGGATAGAGAGGTACAAAAATCTCAATTGCAATGTGAATTAATCATGGGGATTAAAGTGCAGCATAGAGAATATAGTCAACAGTTCTGTAACATCTTTCTATTGACAGTAACTACACTAGTTGGGGTGAACATTTAATAAATATAGATAACTGTTGAATCATTATGTTGTGTACTTGAAGCCAACATAATATTGTCCATCAACTACTTCAATTAAAAAAAAAGCTAATATAAGCTAAAAAGAAAAAGAAAGCCTGGGTTAGAGTGCTGGCTCTGCTATTTGCTCTGTGGCCTGGTGTAAGTTTCTCTATGTCCCTGCCATTGTTTCCTCACCTGCAAAATGAAGTAACACAGGGTTGTTAAGAATTCAGTGAGTCAATACACACAAGGTGCTTACAACTGAGCTTGGTATGGAAAACAGTCAGCAGATGTTTACTGTTATTCTTAAACATTACAATAACCCTTCAACTTTTGGGGACATTATCTCCCTTTTACGAATGTGTAAGTGAATATTCCGGGAAATCAAGTCAAAAATCACACAGCCAAGCTAAGTTGCTTGGCTGATGAGAAAAAGAATCACAGTTCAAACTCCAAGACTGAAATGTTTCTCACTACCCCAGGGCTGGGTGGAAAACAGGTTAAACCTGGGAGGCAGAGTCCTCTTCCAGGGATAAAAACTGGAACTTGTCTGCTTGGCTTATCATGCTTACATGGAGTAGTGGAAAGACCTGAAAAAGCTGTGGAGAAATGGTTTTAACCACTGGCTAACTGTGAGAACTTGTGCGAGTCTCTCGAACATCCTGAGGCTGTTTACTCATCTGCAAAATGGACACAAAAAACACCTGCTGTGAGTTCTTCACGGGTGGTGGTCAGAGTGATGTGAGAAAAAGCATGCAGCCGAGCGCAGTGAAACTATACGGAGCCAGGCACATGCAGGGCAGGAACGGTAATGCCCTCGGCACGTTTGTGCTGTTGGGCAGGCGCGTCTGAGACCTCGCCTTTCCTGCGTGTCCAGCAGCCCCGCCAAAGCGAGCTTTGCTCGCAAGCCACTGGGCCGCAGACGGCCCGGAGGCCCCGTGCGCACGGCGGCAGACCTCGACCCTTCCCGCCTGGGCCCACGGGGGCCATCTGGGAGGTGACCCCCACATGGGTAAAGCAGCTGCTGCTTATCTGTAGTGAGTCAGCGACCCAGACAGATGAGGTGTCCGTGGCGACCTTCCTGCCTCAACGAGTGTGGGAACTCGGGGCTTCCCAGGGACGGCTGGGAACGTAAACAAAATGGCCCGTGAAGAGGTTCAACCTCGCATCCTCCCTCAGCCGCCCAGGCCAGGGTCTCCAGAGCTCATCTGTGCACCGCTGCCGAGGGTGCAGTGCAGAAGAAGCCAGGGCTTCGGGGTGCCAGCGCTGCTCTACCTCCCAGCACAATTCTGACTCCCCAGGAGGTGGACACTTCCTGCCAAAAGTCCCACCACCTCCACCCTTCGCTGTCAACGCGGCACAGTCAGAAACCCGTCAACCTGGTGGAACTCTCCTTCCCTCCATCTTCCCCTCGGCGGCAGGTTTACTGCTCCCGGGTCAGGCATCTGCGGAGAGCCAGGACTCACAGTCTCTTTCTAGCAAAAGGCAGCAAACAAGGGCCATTTGGGAGAAATGGCTCCTTCTCAGCCCCGTTTCACTTGTCTGCGGAAGGCTGGCCCAGCTACAGGCTCTTCAGGGTGAACACCCGTGTTCGCTGCTCTTAGCACTGATTTGCCTCTCCTCCTGTGATGCCTTTCCCTTATGTTGGAGTCTTTCTTCTCAGTTCCCTTCCTTTGCCTGCTCTGCATTTCCTTGCTTCTCCCAAAGCATCACTCTGAGTGCTTCTGTGGCAAATGGTAAAAAGCATTTTAAGTTCATGTCCATATAGTTCCACTTTTTTTCTTAGTCTTCTTGTCTCCATCTTTATATTGGCCCGCACCTGCTCTGTATTGGACAAATGTGCCAGACACTGTGAAGGTGCTGAGGTTACATCAGCCAGCAAGTAAGATAAAGCTGATGACTTACTGTTGCTTACGTTCTAGCTGGGAAGGCAGATAGTGGACAAGGAGTCTCAGAAGATGTTCTGTGTGCTGTGGGTGCTTATATCCGGAAATGCAGATCCAGAGCAGACTGTGGAAAGCCTCCTTGAAGAAATATTTGGGTTGAGCCTGGAAGCATGTGCGTTATTCAGGTGAAGGGTTGGGGAGAGGGAGAAAGACAAGTGGAGAGGAGAGCAGTACCTGTGAAGGCACTGAGGGAAGACAGAGCATTTGCGGAACCAAAAATGAACAGCACAGCCCCTTTGTGGTGCACAACCTGGGCCTCGCCCTCCGCTTTGAGCAGAGCTCCATCCCTTAACACTTCTGCCTACTCACCCACCATAAAACCTGTCATGTATGCTCTTCCCTTGAGGCTTTGCTTTTTTTCCTTCCACGACTGCAGTCTCAACTGATAATGTCTAACATGGGTGTGGAGTCTGGAGACCTAACATTCTTAACTGAATTCTATCGCTTAACTGTCCAACGAAATCAAGTAACTTAGCTTCTCCGAGCTGTGGCTCCTCATCAGAAATGTAAGCTAGTGATGTGCTAATAATGTTTACTGTGTTCCAGCCCCTGATGCAAAGTGCTTTCTGTAGTTTATTGTACTTAATCCTCACAAACATCATGCAGTAGGTAATATTTTTACCCCTTTCTGCCCTTCTCAAAGGATTTTTTGGGACATCTGAGTGTGACACTGATCATAGCTGTGCTTTGTAACCATTAAAGGTTAATGAAAAACTGAAATAATATTACTGTGGTGTTCAACAGGTGCATAGGTATGAATAAATTTGTTAAATGCCACAATGCTAGGTTATTCATAATTAAATGAGGCTCAAAATCTTTTGTGTCTGTCTCCCAGGCAAACCAAACAAAAAGCAGTAGCAAGAATGAAAAATATTGTCATCATGAAAGAGCTAACAGCACATAGCTCCAAACCACTGAAGGGAGAATTCCACAGATGTGACCCTGAAGCTCCCAGGTTTACAGTCTGATCACCACTGCCTGGAATACATGTGCAAGTAACAGAGTGAAAGCTCAGAGTCAGTTCATGAAGAGACTGAGGTTGTGGCACACTTTACTGTACAACAAGGGTAAAGGTCTACCAGGAGGTTCAATGAGCTGGGAGAACTCATAAGCTTTTAGCACAGTTCAAGGTTGGGGCTGAAGTCAGAAAGTCTAAGTCTCTTGGTATTCTCCTTAGTACATGCGTCTCCACTTGCTATGACTTTACCACAGCATATTTTTCACTCCAAATCCCAAACTCTGTGAAATTACTTCTATATAATACATATACTGTCATAATAATGACATTCTTAAGGTATACCCCTGGATGTATGTAACAAACTAATATGAATATGTATGTGTGTTCCTGTGCATGTGTATTGATGCATGTGGGTATTTGTGTGCATGTTTATGAGTGCTGTGGAAGTGGCTTCCTAAACTTTTACTCTCGTGCTGGGCAAGAAGTGGTGCTGGCTGCCCCTGAAAGCAGCCAGAGTGGGAGGAGAACTGACACCCAAGACAAACGAGGGGAAAGAGGATGACTGTGGTTTGATGCTCACAGATCAGATGAGAAGCAATGAATAAGAAAGTCAATGAGCTGAAAATGACTACAGGTGCCTCCTAGAGATTATACTCCCTGTAAATGGTTGTAATAACTATTTGTTTAAACTCCTTTAAAGTGCTGTGAGCTTCAATATCCATTTCTCCCCTCCCAATATAGGTATTCTGTCTTGGAGGTTTAGAGCACATTTTGGGTTCACATTCAGGTTCTATCAGATTCTGCCACTTACTAGGTGAATGATATTGGGCAAATCACAATATCTCTATATCTCTGTTTCTTAACCTCTAATATTGGAAAGAGTAGTATCTAACTCCTGGAATTCTTGTAAGCATAGAGGAATATAAAATGTGGTGAGTATGTTGCATTCAATATTTAGCAAATGACTACTTGATGGTATTTTACAGGTGACAACACAGATGCCCAGGGAAGTTAACTTCCTCTTCTGGGCTCCCCCAGCTAATTAGTGGCAGTACCAGGGAAAGCAGTCAGGCATCCTATGGCCCAGGGCGCTTTCTACTCAGCCACGTGGAGCACCAATCCCACACTGAAAGAATTTTCAGGTTACAAGTGATTTTTCATGCATAATCTCTTTACTTTGCACGTCTCTGCCAAATCCACACATTAGCAAGCTCAGAACTCTGAAGAAAAGGTTTATATAGGATCTTCTGAAAAATTAATCTAGATTTGGGGTGGCCCGACAAGACCCAAAGAGCTATGTGTGAAAGGAGAAAAAGACACGCTGTCACCCCCCCCTCAGTGTGGAACTGTAGATTATTTACTTTGTGGATTGATGTGACACAATCTTTAATCCCACATTGGCTACGCTCTGCTGCTTCCCTCCACCCTTAGTGGGTGTTGCTCATGCAATACAAACTCAGGAAAGTCAATCTGCTTGTTACAACCTCTCACCCCATCCCCCCCTCAGTGTGGAACTGTAGATTATTTACTTTGTGGATTGATGTGACACAATCTTTAATCCCACATTGGCTACGCTCTGCTGCTTCCCTCCACCCTTAGTGGGTGTTGCTCATGCAATACAAACTCAGGAAAGTCAATCTGCTTGTTACAACCTCTCACCCCACATCAGCCTCCTCCTGTCTTTGTATGTCATCCTTGAAAGCTTTGCTCAACTCCCTTTATGGAAACATTAGAAAGACAGCTGGACGAGAAAGCCAGGGGCTTTAGTCCAAGTATGACGTTGGTTACTCGCAGGCCCTCCAGCAAGTTAGATGAGATTTTCAGTCTTTGATTCCTTATCTGTAAAACAAAATGAAGAAAGGAGCATTTAGGGAATGCCTACTATATGCCAAGTGCTTTCAATTATGTCACTTCATTTAGTCCTTAAAAAAAAACCCTAAGCCCTACTAGATAGGAATTTTTATCAGTATTATGCAAATGAAAAGATTAAAAAGGGCAGAGAGGCTAATTGCCCCAGACCCAGGTGGCAAAAAGGATTTTGAGCTGAAATTTGAACCTAGGACCATCTGATTCCAAACTTTATTCTTATACTAGTAATCCAACCCGATCTATAGTTCTAATATGCTGTTCTGGGGGGACAGTTAATCAATAGTTGGCTGAGTTTGTTACAGTGAGTCATTCCTCTCTGCCTAGGGGTCTTATTCTGAGTAGGCAGAGGTCCTGAGGAGATTTACTACATTCTGTATTCGGTCAGCTATTATGTCAGCTGTACACCCAAGTATTGTAAGAAGTAGTTTTATGGCCATCAACTTGATACTTGCCCTAATCTTAGATGCGTCTTCCAGTAAGAAAAACATTTCTTTGTAAGTTCTTCCCTCGTACTTCCTTGGAAGCTCAGTATTTATGTAGTTGACTTTATCCTCAATGAAGGAAGACTATTCATTAACAAACCAAAGATATCTCACATTTATATATTTAAAAGAGTCGCCTACAGAAGCAGGGAGCAGTATTGAAAGGGTATCTCACCGCAACCCTCCTTACCCCAGAACGACTCAGGAGACACGGGCCCACCCACACAAGAGATTTTATTATCTGAAAGAGAAAATGGCTGCCCCTAGAGAGAGGGAGCAGCAGCTTGTGGGTGAGGAAGTGCATTTTTAAGGAGTAGGGGTAGGGTGTGTTCTGCGTTGATGATTGGATCTTAAGGGGTGGGCAACCATCTGGTCAGTGGTGATTGGATCTTTAGGGGTGGGGGTCTTAGTGGCCAGAATTTGCCTTCATTCCCATCTTTTTCTTTTCTTCATTGTGCCTCTGGGGAACTGGGCGTAGAATCTCATTCTCTAGCTACTTCCTGCTGGAAGGGGGCGCAGATTCTGGGGTTAGCGAGGCCATTGCTGTAGAGTTGGGGAAGGGCGGGCATCCTGAAATGATTTGTGATGTCATCAAGGTGGTTTCATTATTCTTCGTGAGAAGGCCTTGATAGCCCTGGAGGAGTAACTGGTTGACAGTATGGTTAGAAATTTTCAAAATTTGATTTTGAATGAATTTTTGGAATAGGTTAATGAAGCAGGGAAGGAAAAGGAGAATAATAATAATAAAGGTAATAGGAGCTAGGAGGGGCAGGAGCCAATTGAAGGGATAAGGGAACGGATTGTTAGGGGAGTTTTCTAGGAGTTTGGAGGCTTGTTCACAGAGGTGTTTTGCACCATCCTGGATGAGACCAGATTCGTTGGTGTAGAAGCAGCGTTGTTCTCGGAGCAGGGCACATATGCTGCCTTATGCAGCTGTAAGGAGGTCCTGTTTGGATTGTAGAGTACATTACTGGAGGATTTGTAGTCTGTGGAGTTGAAGGTGTAAGTGGTCCCATTGGGATGGAGGAGAATTGTAAAGAATTAGATTGGAATAACAGCTGCACTGATAATTCTTAAATCTTGAACTAGCCTATAAGAGCCATTAGGTTTTTTGATAGCCAGTATCAGGGTGTTGTAAGGGGAATTGGCTGGTCTCAAAAGGCCCTTTTGTAGAAGGGGTATTGGGATTGTGAGGGGAAGGAGGTAGGGTCTTTGAGTTTGATGGTTACAGGTGGGCAGGTGGTGATAGAAGAGGTAGAGGTGTCCCATACTGTGGGGTTTACTTGGCAAGGAGGTAAGGGAAAAGGGGAGGGAGGTGGGTCTGGGATGGTTTAGAGAGCAAGTGGAAAAGGGATCAAAGATGAGTTGGGGTTGAGGCATGGACCAAAGGTAAAGGAGATAAGAGCCCCTAGCTTGGATAAAAGGTCTCTTCCCATAAGGGGAACTGGAAAATGGGAAATCACTAAAAAGGAATGACAGAGAGTAATGCCCTTAAAGAGGCAGTGAAGCATGGGAGCTTGTAAAGGTTGATAAGCTGTGCCCTCTACCCCAATATAGAGGAATGTGAGAGGGAGGTAGGTCCCCAAAACTCCTTCAGGACTGAGTAGGTGGCCCTGGTGTCCAAAAGGAAGGAGATGGGCCTACCCACTACCACAATGGTTACCCTGGGCTCCTGTACAGAGATGGTAGTGGTCGGGTGGAGGAGTCCCGGGCCCCCTCAATCATCAGTAGCCAGACCCAGAAGGTCTATGTGTGGAGTGTTAGAGCTGGATGGCCTGGCACCTCTCGGTGTGCGAGGACAGTCAACAGCCCAGTGTCCCTCCTGATGGCACTTAGGGGATTTGGGCAGGCTCTAGCCCAATGACCCGTTTGACCACATTTGAAACATAGACCAGGAGGTCCTCCTGGCTGCTTCTTAGGAAGTGAGGATACCTGAGCACCAGTGGTTGTGATAGGTTGAAAGGCCTTGGCCAGCATTTGATATTTTTGTTTACAGGCCTTTTCTTCTCTTCCATTATATACTTTGAAGGCCACTGCCAGGACTTCTGCCTGAGGAGTTAAGAGTCCCTTCTCCAGACATTTAAGTTTAGCCTTAATGTCAGGGAAACTGGGTGAAGAAGTAGGTCATTAATAATTGTCTCCCATCTGGGGTCTCAGGGTATAGGTTTGTATATTGTAAAAGAGCTTTGGTGAGGTGGTCTAGGAAGATAGAGGGATTCTCATTTTTATCCCGAATAACGTCTTGGAGTTTTTCATAGTTAATGGCTTTATTGGCTGACTTCCTGAGACCCGCCACGAGGCAGGTGATGAATTGATCTTGACTGGCGACTCCCCCTGCCGTTTTATAGTCCCAGTTAGGGTCTCGGTCAGGAAACGCCTCAGCACCAATTGGATGAGCTGGAGTAGTTTGGTGAACCTCATTGGCATGAGTTCTGTCCTGTTCCCAGACTCACCTACACTCCTTGGGCAAAAGTGTGTTGAATAGGATCACATGAATATCATGAAAGGTAAGATCATATGACTGAGTTAGGTACTGGAACTCTTTTATGTAAGTGGCTGAGTTGGAGGTGAAAGAGCCTAATCTTCTCAATTTGAGATAGGTTGGAGAGAGAGAAAGGGACATGGACCTGGATGATGCTCTCTGTACTGGCTACTTCCTGCAGTGGGGCTAGGATCTGGGTTCAAGAGCTAGTGACTGGAGGGCTTGGCACAGGACTGGGTGAGGGAAGGTGAACTGGTTGTGGAGGAGGAGGAGGTGCTGCGGCTCCTGCAACGGCACTAGGGGAGCTGGGAGGGTTGGGGTTTTGATCTTGCAGAGAAGGAGGTTGGGGTGGGAGAGGAACTCATGGTTGATGGGGAGCTGTAGGGGTTTGAGATTGGTAGGGAGGAGATTCATCAGCAGGGTCAAAGTCAGAGGATATGGTGGGAATTGGTAGGTGATGGGATGAAGTTTTTTAGAGTGAGGAGAAGATGTTTAGGATTGCAAGAGAGACAAACAGCAGGCTTGGTTTGGAGGTAGGAGAAAGCCTGGATATATGGGATCTCTTTCCATTTGCCCGTGCCCTCACAGAAGTTGTATAAGTCATGGAGAATTTTAGGATCTAAGCAGCCATTGGGAGGCCATTTAGACTGATTGTCCAAGGAATATTGTAGCCAGGTCTCATTACAGTAGCGAATAAGCTTAAAAGGTTTGAAGTCTGTCTGGAGTGACGCAGAGGGGTTTTAGATTATTGAGTAAGCACCCTAGTGGTGAATCTGTGGGAATGGAGGGGCCAGATCCCAAGGTGAGAATGAGACCATTCGGAAGTCACTGAGGTGTCCCAGAGCGATTGAGAAGTCACAGAGGAGACCAGACACAGTTAGGGGGTCATCACCACCTCTAACCAAGCAGTCAAGGTGAAAATGTCGAGGAGGCTCGGTACCTGGTACCAGGAGTTTACGAGTAGATAAAGGGAGACCGGGCCTCAGTGAATGGGGATTCTCACCATGGGGAGGCAGAGAAGGGTCAACTATGGGGATCAACCGTGACTCTGAAAGTTGTGGTTGGGGGTACCCCTGTCCCAGAGGAGCCCTTGGGGGTGCAAGACACTCAACGGACACTTCCCAGGTACCAAAGGCACATTTAAGTCAACCATGAAGGCAAGACTTACCAAACTGAGGGCTGGTGTTAGGCGAGAAGACGAGCGACTGGGGAAATGGACGGTGAGCCCATGGAGGAGGATCAGGCAGTGAGGGTTCCCAAAGAAGCTCAGGTTCCCGGAGGAAGAGCAAAGTCAGTGGGAGAGCCTCATCCAAGTCACAGCACCAATGAAAGGGTATCTTACCATGCCTTCCTTACCCAGGATGACTCAGGAGACATGGGCCCACACAAGAGATTTTATTATCTGAAAGAGAAAATAGCTCCCCCCAGGAGAGGGAGCAGCAGCTTGTGGGAAAGTGCGTTTTTAAGGAGTAGGGGTAGGGTGTGTTCTGTGTTGGTGATTGGATCTTAAAGGGTGGGCAATCATCTGGTCAGTGGTGATTGGATCTTAAAGGATGGGCGACCATCTGGTCGGTGGTGATTGGATCTTAAGGGGTGGGGTCTTAGCGTGCCAGAATTTGCCTTCAAGTATGAAGGGTGTTTGTTTACTGAGAAGGGGCCTGATGAGAATACTGGCGATGGGCACAGGGTCTGGAGTCACCAGCTGTTCGCCACTGTAATGGAGACTGGGCCTGTCCTCTGACTCTCAGGCACCTCTGAAGTTGGTCACAAGTAAGAACTTAACTTGTCTCAACTGGAACTTCACTGCATAACGGCTGGAAGAGGGAAGTAGAGTGGAGTACACTGCACTCTGTGGGAGGAGCAACAGGAATACAAAGTGTTACCTATTTATTTGGTAGTCAACCAGGTGTATCATGGAGCCTAGCTCCTTCGTATTGTAGTTTCAGTCTCTAAAGATAAGGATGATGTTTATTTGTTGTTGCATCCTGAGGCCAGCCCAATGTCTAGCACATAGCAGGTGCTCAATAAATGTGTTAAATAAATGAACAGGACAAGGCAGGCCAATAAGGAAGATAATTAGGAAACCTTGGTCATTACTGGATCAAATGTCCATTAAGAATCTAAATCTACCTAAATCATGTGATAACATCTCCTTGAGAGCAGTGACCATGACTTACTCACTTTTGTGTCCCCTAGGATCTAGCTTGTATAATAGGGGCTCAAACATTTCTATCGAATTGAATCATCTTTAGAGAATCCTATGATCATGTAGTAAAAACACCCTAGAAGACAATAGGGTGGAGGGATGAAAAAAAAGGCTAAGTTATTTAAAGGTGATAATGATAAGGCTGATAACACTGATCACATAAGCAAGCTGGTAGTAGTGGAAGACAAGGATGCTCAGGGAAGGCATGATGCTAGTGCTGGTGAAACTGCAGTAGAAGTTGTCCAGGGAAGGGTGGGGTATCTGAGTCCATGTTCTGCTCCACAATGTGCCAAAGTGAAGCCCATTCATATTGGTACTTTAGCATGCATGGAGTGCTAGACCAACCCTCACTGCAACCAGCACTGTAGTGCTCCCCAACATTCTCTCAGTTTTTCCCCCATCATCTCGTGATAGTCCAAAATATCCTACTTCTCATTGATTAGGAAATTTTTTCTCTTTTCCTGTATGCATATACAGCTCCTTCCTGGGTACATGAGCTGTAGGATGAATTCCACCATCTGCCCACTTGGACCCAGCACTCCATCCCTCTTCCTGTCCAATGACAACTTCTCACCAAAGGGCTGCAGGGTGGGGGTTCATTATACCCATGATTCTGCTCCTTGCCTTCGCCTCCTAAAGATGACCATGCTAGTGATTCCAAGGTGATTCCTGTTCTACTGCCATGACTGACAACTTCTACTAAAGAGGAGAAAAATATCCTTTTTAATCTTTAGCGGGACCCCTCCTCTGGCTAGGCAGGAATTTTCTTGTATAAGAGGAGTGGGAGAACAGAGGACATAGTGGTGCATCATAGATTTCTGGTTGTGTGGTCAACTTAAAGACTGACTCAAAGATGGCACAAATAGAAATAACGTAATGGCTTTGCTGGGGGTGAGTAAGGCTGGTTTAAAGTCTGGAGGGAGCAGTGAACTACGTAAATGAATAAGACAGGAAATATTCTCAACTGGAGCAAGACTGTGGGAAACATTTGTATGAGAAAATTGAGACAAAACAAAGAAATGCAGAGAGCTGTTAAGTCCACATGGAAGGTTTTAGAAGATAATAAAAAATAACATTTTCCACCTAGCACTCTTCTAAGCTCTTTAGATGTACTATTCTATTTAATCTTTACAACAAGCCTCTGAGGTAAATATTAGTATCATCTCCACTTTACAGATAAGAAAACCAAGGTATAAAACTATGGAGTAAATTACCTTAGGCTACATAAACCTAAATAATATGGAAAGCTGGAATTTGAAGCATAAGCCTTATTCTATATTAACATCAATTCAGCACTAATTATCTGCTAAGTAGTATGCTTTAGTCTACATCTGGGGTGACCTCAGGAGACCTAAAGAGCTATGGGTAAGAGAAATATATATATAAATATATATATATATCCTGTCACACTCCCTTCAATTGTTGATATGTAGATTATTTACTTTGTGAATTGATGTGACACAATCTTTAACTCCATGTTCTTCCACACATCCTTCCCGTGAAATATTTGTATCTACACACTGTAAGTATGTATATCTTGTGGTATTTATATACTAAAATACAATTTACCATCAGTCTTCCAGATCATGCCTTACTCTCACCTTTAGTTTTTAGCATGGCTTCCATTAGCTATTCCTGAGAGGAAAAGAGTCACTTCTTGATTTCACAGATGGTAAAAGTGGTTTGGAGGAAGTCAATGGCTTAAGCAAGGCCACAGGTCAAGTTAGCGGCATTTGGCTTAAATCAGAATCAACAACCTCTGTCTCTCCAGCCTGCTCCTTAGAGGATCTGCCTGTCCTAGGGCCTGGGCCGTATTCCAAATCGGGCAATCTAGTGCATGCTGCCTGGCTGAAATTCCCCTTGTGGTCTTGCTCACATCTGGTGTTTTTCACTTCTCTTTCTGAACACGTGCTTCGATCCTATTGCTACTACAGCAGAAAGACATCCATGGTTCCAAGGAGCAGAGTTAATTTGCCGAGAGGTGAAAGATACTCCTCTCAACAGCACTTCTAAAAATAAACAGTATCAGAGCCAAACCATGTCATGCTTGAAGCACTTCCCAGAAGCTCCCAAATTTATTAATGTCTATATAGTACTTACCGCCCCTAAACCTCTAATGTGCCTGGACTCCACGCACCCCCAGCTCCTCTCAAATGTCCAACAGATTTGAAGTCTTGTGTTGTTCTTCATTTTGGTCATTCTCAGAGAAGACAAGGGTGGCATGTCTTTAGGCATCTTCCATAAGAGTGCTGTGGTCATAGTTCTCCATCAGTTCACACACACTGAGCTGAGAGCCATGTATATTTACTTCCAGAAAACCTTATCTACGACTAGCTTCCCTGTTTATTTATTTTATCAAATTTTGTTACTCATTCTGCCTCTTACCTTATCTTAGTAAGTCTCTTTCTTAATTGTAAAAGTATTTTCTCACTACATTAAAAATTTTAGGGAAATAGAGAATAAGAAAAAAATACCCACAATCCTAGTACTCTATCAAAACTGTTAATAATTATTTGGATTTTCTTCCAGGTTTATTTTCCTTGTATTGTTAGTTTTTACTAGCCAGAATCAAAATTTATATGCAATTTTTTTGTTCTTTTCACTATTTGATATTCCATTATAAATGTTCTCCTATGTTGCTACACAACTTGCAGACATAAAGTGAAAGGGAACACGTGGGTGTCAGCAAACGCCATCAGTGACCTCCCATAAAGGAATGGATTGTGAATACTGTTTATGGGGACTCAGTTTTTCCCTAACTTGCTGGGATATAGGATCAAGGCAGAGAAGACATAGCTGACTATGAAAATGCAAAACAGCCCAAATTTTTTGGAGACTGAAGATTAATTTGAAGCCACAAATGGCTAAATTCAAGATTCAAGACAATTCACTGGCCCCATTGAGATAAGTCAGAAGCAAGCAAGGCTAAATGTTTTGGTAGCTTCTACCTAACAGTCTACAGAAAAGAACTTCTTATCACAAATACAGCCTGAAAGAAGGATGTTTGGCAACCTCTCCTTGAGAAAGAACTTCTTCCCATGGGCTGGGGAGAGTTATAATAAACAAATTATGTTGCCTACTCCACCCCCCAAGTGTTTTCAAGGAAGAAGTGAGAAGGCAGGGCGTTCTTCCCATTGGAAGGAATTGTTTGGCTTCCTTGCTATGTTTTCTACTTTACCTTGGTCCCCCTTCCTCCACACAGCCTTCCAACATCCCTTGCTTTTCGGCTGACCCTCTCAAGCCCATGGTGTCCTGTCAGCATCCTGTGCTCTTTCCACATTCACCCTCACACACGGAGGCTGCTGCCGAGCAGCAGCCACATGCCCTGCTTGGCAGCCATTGCAAAGCTTTCTTGAAAGAGCTGTAGAATCCCCTAATGAGGAATAGTAGAACACAGGCTATTATGCCCTGCTTTCCACCATTGTAGCTCTTCTTTCTACTCTGGGCACACCAGCTAACCTACTATGTGTCTGTCACTTTAATCCTTACAGCAATGCTGGAATATTGGGATAACTATTCTCAAATTACAGGTGAAGAAAGTGGGATTTGTCTGTGTAATAATATATAATATTATAGAGATGTAAGAAAATGCCCAGAGGTGCAGAGAAAAGTACTAAGCAAAATTAACCATCATCCAGTTCCCGGAGACCACTGTTAACTTTTTTTACGTATTCCTTCTTAGTTTCGTGTGTATGTGTGTACAAATATGTTTGTGAGAGAGAAAAGGTAATTGATAACACACATGGGTTTGTTTTATTTTACAGAATTGTGATTATACTATTTCTGTTAGTTTGCTGGGGCTAACACAACAATGTACCCCAATGTGAGTGGCTTAAACACAGAAATGTATTGTCTCATGGCTCTGGAGGCTAGAAGTCTGAGACGAAGGTGCTGGTGGGTCCATCCCCTCTGAGGGCCGTGGGGGAGAATCTGCTCCAGGCCTTTCCCCTGGTTTCTGGTGGTTTTCTGGCTGTCGCTGTTCCTTGGTTTTTGCTGAATCACTCCCAACTGTGCCTTCACCTTCACAGGGTGCTCTCTCTGTGTGCATGTCTGGCTCTCCACATGGCATTTTATAAGGACAATAGTCATCCTGGCTTAAGGACCCACCCTACTCCAGTATGACCTCATTTTGACTTGAATAATTACATTCACGATGACCCTATTTCCAAATAAGGAAACATTCTGAGGTACTGTGGATTTAGGAACTTCGACATATGGACTGGGAGTGTGTGGACACAATTCAACCCACAACAACTATTTATACAATAGTTTGCCTTGCTTTTTAAACTTTTTTCACTTATCATTCTATTACGAACATTTTCCAGGACAGGCACATTTATGTCGGAAAAAAATCCGGAACTCCCCGATGTGAGCATGGCAGGGAGAGAGGCCTGAGTGGGGCACTAAAAAGAGGAGCAACCCAAAGCTATGGGGGCACAGCAGGCAAAGAGAAGAGCGCATAGAAAGGGCAGGATCGCAATCGCAATGCTGACCATCATCATGGTCTGCCCACCATCAGCTTTTCTGAGGGCTTCTCACAAACATGAGTTAGAAAAAAAGGAAAGCCTCCAGGACCGCCCAGTCTCCTCCATGAGCAATTCCTTGGCCCTGGACCATTACCCAGCTTGGAGGAGATCCGAAGGATGCAAGAGAGACCATAGAACAGACAAGAGGGAACAGGGCCAGGGAGGTTTGGGAAGGTGCACCCACATTTGCCAACTAGGAAGCACTAGGATATGATCATTCAAAACTCTTACATAGTTTCAAAGACATGTACTTTACAATTCTAGTCCTGACACTCACTTTTCTGTAAGATCTTGGGCATTATTACTCAGTCTTTCTAAGTTTCAGTTTCCTCATATGAAAATGGACCTTATAATTGTACCTATTCATAGGGTTGTTGTGAAAATAACACATAGGGGTGTTATATGTAAAGCGCTCACTGCAGTGCCTGGCATGAAGGAAGTACTTCATTCATTCA